CAACTGCACTTTCAATTTAATCTCTGTTTCTAATTTGGGGGTGGGGCAGCTGTTAACAAGTCAAGTAAGATCTGACCTTTGAGGAAACTATCTCATTTTGTTATGTAAATAGTGCCCTTAAAAACCATTATGACTTGTTTCATCTTTCAGACCTAAAAGCACCTGCTTGGGCAAATTCAGAAACCCCACCCCAAATTAGAAACAGATCAGAGATTAAATTGAAAGTGCAGTTGAAGATAAGGTTAAAGGTTATTTTTGGAAATGCCTTTCCAAACAAAGCTTTCTGCTTGTATCAAGAAAAGGGCTAGGAGCATTCATGCAAATGATCAAATCAACTTTGTGGTCCTGGGATGTAGTTCAGTGGTAGAGCACTTGCCTAATGTGCACAAGGTCCTGGGTTTGATCCCTAGCACTGCAAACAAAATTTTGTGGCCTGAGCATCATGAAGGATGGAACACAGCAATCTCGACTAAAGGATCATTTGGAATGATACAAACAACACTAGAGAATATCTCAAAGGGCCTGGAGTCTTGGGCCCATCTATAGGCTGGGTGACCTTTTGACAAGAGACTTAACATCTCTGGGCCTCAGTATTTTTCATCTATGATGTGGGGTTAACACAATCTTACTGCCTTACTGAGTGTTAGAAGAATCAAATAAAGAATAGGAAAAAGCTTAAATGCTGTAGTTTGCTGGGCAAATCAAAAGGTCAAAAGAAGCCACAAGATAAGTGGTAGGTGAGAGGCTCATAGAGGGCTTCAGGAGGATATAGTCACAGCTGCTCCAGTTGATTCCATTAGCTTTCAATCTCCCAGGGAAAGGGGCAGATGTGTTCTTCTCTGCTTCAAACCTGGTGCTATTCAAATGTGGCCAAGGAGATGAGAGGAAATGTTGATAAAATGACATAAAGAAATACCTCTCTTTCTGAACTGTCTATAGGTCTTGAATTTGGAAATAATTGAAAACAAAACAGGGAAATGTCAAACAAAACAAAGGGATTGTATATTCCTAGTGCAGTAATAATCTAGTCAGCTCCTCCAGGACAGGGACCATGTATTATTTGCATTTATAACCTGACCACCCTCAGGGCTCAGGGTAGTATAGCTAAATCCATGACTGCTGAACACGTGATTTTTAATACACAGAGATATTTTTAAATGTACCTCTAAACTTGTAGGTCATCTTAGGAGTGACTATAACCTTGCTTCTGAAGTCACAGCAAAGAATTATATCTCTAATCATAACAGAATTTTAATAGCAGCATCTATCAGACAAATCAAATGAAATCTATAAAGGTGCTCAGTGTTTGTTCAAAACAAGGAGAGAAACAATTTTGAAAATAAAAAGAAATTGGCTCTGGGATAATTCCAAAAGAGCCAACGAGGGTAAATGGGTTATTTGTGACAACTGAGTGCTCCAGTGGAATTGAATAATTCAGAATAAATGCATCTCTGCAAAGGGCAACAGGCTGGAGCTGGGGTGAGCATCCAGCCCTTCAGATTTTGAATGGAAGTCCTGGGGAAGTGGAAAGCCTTTTTAGGGAGGTATGCTCCCCTGCCCAGGGGTCTCCACACTGCAGAGGGAACAATCAGGTAGGCTTCTTCACTCTGGAGTATTGATATGCCTTCCTTTACCAAGCCCAGGCCTTCTGCTCTCACCAATTGAAAATGGGGCATTAGTAATGAAAACAGTATCTGAAACATCCTTTGCATTGATTCATTAACCACTAGCTATTTCTCACCAGTCATGGGGTGCTAAATGGTTATTCTTTCCACCTTCCTATTGCAGGAAGCAAGGCATACAATGGCTTAGAGATTTCTCTGAAATCATGCCTTAAATTGGCAGAACTGAGAAAGAATAGAATTTCCACTTTTTCTTTTTTTTTTCCCTCTGAGGTGAGAGTTTTCAGATACTGCAGGGAGGCCTTAGTGAGATAGACTGAAACTCTCAGAGGCCAACACAATGAAAAGCTTATGAAAGACCCTGCCTT